GCTGTTCAAGCAGTTTTGGATTATTTTCCCCTTTTCAATGGTATTGTTGCATAAGAAAGAATACCCTATTTTGGTGACCGCAACTGAACAGACCCGCAAGTTCTGCAACTACAGCATCCTGCAAAGTCCTTTTATCTGGAATCTTTGCTCTATCTGTGCAGTTTTCCTTCTAAAATTCAAATAGCTTACTTGTATGAGTAATCCCTAAATTGTCTAATACGTGTTCTGTCACATAGTCGAAGAGAAAACGCATAATTGCTTCTTTTGTTAAAATAAAAGGAACTTTTTGGGGTCTTATATAGTTAAGGTAACAAGTCCGATGATAATATAACTCTAAGGAAACTATGTTTTGCCCAATATACTAGCTGGGTTTTCAGCTTTACTTAAGCGTTTTCTTATAACATGTTTGCTGCACTTTCTGTTACCAATTTTGCCCAGTAAGCATGACGTAAAAAAGACGTTTTTATACGTTTTTAAACGTTTTACTCGTTTTGGACCTCTTTTGAACGTTTTGGACGTCTTTTGAACGTTAAAAAGACGTCATTATAGGTCCGGTGCCCATTGGGTGTAAGCGTTTTATATCCGTTCCTATATTTATTATTCTTTTTGCAATAGCAAATGCAACACTTTTCATCCGCAATAATTTTACATGAAACAAAGGAATTATTTTTTGAAGTAGTACATAAAACATAAAAAAAAACGTGAAAACTGAGGGCAATATTCTTTGCTTTGCATTTCACACTAAAAGGTTTTTTAATTTACCTGATCTATCTCTTTTCCGAGATGAGATTCTACGCTTAAATGAGGATGCATTATCCACGCCTACACTCTCGTTGATATTTTCTGCACTATTTTTCTTATGTTATAAAATGTTTAATGTTTTTATATTCACATACTTATCGTAACATTTTTGATGAAATAAGAAAGTTGTTGGGCACGTACCAGCAGGTACGTATCCAGCATTATTTGGTCTTTGAGATTTTTGACCATATAAAGTTTAACCCCCCCCCCCTTCAATTTGAGGGGGTCGCAAATTTTATATTGTTATATTTATTGAACGCTGAAATATTTTACTATGAAATTTAAAGTTTATCGATAAGTATAAACATATAAATAAACACCCTTATTTGACATAAGTATAAACATTTAGTTTGTGACTTACCAAGCATTTTAAGTCACAATGCTTGGTTTGCAAGTCACAACCCACAAGTCTTCACTTTCGCAAGCGCATTTTCAGTAAAACCACGCAGTTTGTTAAAATTACGACCAACTTCACCATGATGAAGTATACAAGCATTTTTAATTTCTTTTTTAGGAACCAGATTAAAATGCTGCATTTTTTTGGCCACTCGCCATTATTTAGTTTAATAATAATAAATAAATAAAAATAAAACGCGTTTTTTTAGTTTTATGTTTTATATTTTTGCAACAACCGTTTCTTTTAAAATGATTGCAGTTGATTATGCAAATATTTTGTTTTATTTATAAAAATGACTTTGATTTTTTTCTTTTATTTATGACGGTAATTCTTTACTTTTAAAAAGAACTTCGATAAAATTAAAAAAAGTAAACAGTTTTTGAAAAGTAAACATTTTTTAACGTAAACAAAGAACGGGAACATTTTTTTATTTCTTAGATTTATTAAATTAAAATTATTTCATATTTTTAATACAATATTAAAAACAAAATTTTAAACAATTTTTTTTTTAAAATAAGGTTTATGAAGTTTTGGTTACATAGATTTGAGAAATTATATTTAAAACATCTAATTTTACAAACAATTAACCCCCTATCAATAATTTGTTAAAACTAAATTAATGCTTGGATTTATAAATAGCATGGCGGATATATCGTGGTTGAAATCTTTTCAATAAACTGCATCAATTTTTGTCTCTAACTTAAGTTATAAGCACTTTTCAAGTGGCACGTAAAAATTTTTAACTTCTTAAGTTATAAGGAACAAGCCTTTGTAAAAATCAGAATGTCCACTCAAAATGTTTAGCTTTCCTTTTTTTTTTACATGTAGCGACCAAACTAGGTCGCTCTCCTCGATTTAGCCAGGCTATATGAGAGTGAACCATCCAGAATATAGACTATACATATATATTTTTTATTTGTATTTTATAACATGCTTATTGTAAAACATCTATATTCTTGGTAAATATATTGCTTTTTGTTGTTGTTGTTGCTGTTGTAAGGAGATGAATAATTGAAAAAAAAACAACAACTGAGTTACAGTAAGTTAAACACCGATTTTGTTTTACATACTTAATTTTAAAATGGGGGGATAAAAGTGTTAAGTTCCAGGTAATAGGTCTTATATGATATGTATTTTATGTATATCTTGTATTTTGCAGCATGTTTAAGAATATTTCTGCATGGTGCAATCTGACTGTTGACAATATTTGCATACTGATACGAGTAAAAGTGACTTCAACAACCAGAATGTATTTTGGATAAATATTAGTAATGACAGGTTAGTAAATATAATAATAATAATAATGGTAATAGCTTTTATTTATTAGAATTAGTGAGAGTCTTATGTATGATAGAATTGCATGAACTTTGGGGTACAAATATAATGATTGGAGTAAATATTACCCTTGTTTATTACCTCGATTAGAGTAATATAAGAAAATATTATTTTTATTTAAAAAATATTCAGCAAAAGTCAATATTTTCTTAAGTATTAAATGTTATATAAAAACACATGTTAAAAAAAAAAGTGTATTGTAAATTAAAAAAATAAGTATTAAAAAAAACACATGTATTATCATAATGTATATACATCACATTAACTATGTTGCCTATAAAGTAGCGGTTGCAGCTAATATTTCAGCTTCAGCTTTAAACTCATTAGCTTCAGATTAAAGCTGAAGCTGATCAAGTCAGTATAATAATTACCTTGATAGCTGATAGTAAAAGAGAAAAATACTCCATAAAAATTTTATATAAAAACATATAGAAATTTATTCAATGAAAATCAAAAATAGTGACAAAATTTATAAATACAAGTAAAAAATTTTAAATAAAATTTGCCAAAAATTGTTGCTATTTATATATGTTGCTGTCAAAGCCTTGGTCTAGGACTCACAGTTTTAGGCAACCCAAATTGGGTTTTTTAGAGATTTGTTTAAAAGGTGGTACCCAAAAATCTAATTCCATTTTTAATTTTTTGGTAGATTTTAAAGTTCTTGTATAAGATGGTTTTATCTATGAAATTATTGAGTATAAAATCAATCTTGCTGTTATCATATGTGATGCACCAGCTCGAGCATTTGTTAAGTGTATAAAGGGACACAAAGGATATAACTGATGTGAGCATTGTGTTCAGAAAGGAGAGTGGTGTGGCAAAATAATACTCCCACATATTTCACTAATTTAAAGCGCTGACTCTTTTGTCATCAAAAGGATTCTGAACATCTTAGTGGTGTGTTAAATTGAATTAAATTTTGACATGGTGACAAAGTTTCCTTTAGACTTTATGCATCTAGTATGCCTAGGGGTATGCAAAGAATCACCAACTTATTTTTAAATTGCCCAAATGTTTTAAATTTTTCAGATTACAGTCAATACTTTATCTTGCAGATTGTTCCAGATACATCTTTATATTCCAAGAAAATTTTCTTAAAAACCAAGGTCTTCATTAGATATTAAAATTTTTCAGTTGTTCTAATTTCATAATAATTTATTTTGTTGAAAAAATATGTTAATTTTGCTGTTAAGCTACTTATTTTGTGCAGTTATATTGGTGAACTTTGTTTTAAAGATCAACTAGTTTACAATGTCCATTTATTAGCACATATAGGAAATAATACAGTTAAAATTTAAGTACTTGATAGATGTTCAAATACGAAACTTTTTCAGGTCAATTAAATAAGCTTGTTCAAAGGCCAAAGGGTTGCTCAAATAAACATGTACAAGAAGATAAACAGAAATTAAGTATTACTTATTTTGATGGTAGTAATCATTGCATTGAGACACTGTTTACAGTTTAAAAATAATCAAGGTTTAGAGTGTTTTGTTACAGCTAATGAAAGTCATAATTGTTTTTACAAAATAAAATGGTTAAGGTAAAAAGGTTTTAAAAAGCAGAGAAATCTTATGACAAATATGTTATGTTTGAGGAATTCGTAACTTTTTAGTCGTTTTATACATAAATATATAATGTGTATGTGAGTGTGTGTATATAGTATATATATATATATATATATATATATATATATATATATATATATATATATATATATATATATATATATATATATATATATATATATATTTTTTTTTTAATGTTGATTTAGGTGCCCCAAGAAGTCCTTACGGTCTTATCACAGAGCACCGCGGAAGAGCATTTAATAGAAAGTTCACGCCTCCTTCCCAACCGATGTCGCAAAACTTGTCCAGAGGTGGGGTTTGAACCACGGATCTTACGTTTCTGAAACAAGTGCGCTACCACTGCGCCACGGCTGCTCATATATATATATATATATATATATATATATATATATATATATATATATATATATATATATATATATATATATATATATATATATCTGTGTGTGTGTGTGTGTGTGTGTGTGTGTGTGTGTGTGTGTGTGTGTGTGTGTGTGTGTGTGTGTGTGTGTAGATGCAAATTTAGGTGCCCTTTTACAAATGTAAGGATTTTTTTTTATTTAGTATTTTTATTTAGATTTTTTTTATTTATTGGAAAAGTTTTTAGGAATTTTCGGGCCCTAATGACAGTTTTTTTTTTATGGGAGGGGGGCTTGTATCTAGTAGCCACGGCACTGCATATAAGGTATATACAATAAATATCAAATTATATACAATATAAATGTATAAAATTATTTTTATTTAATAATTTTATATAATTTATTTATAAGTAACTAAAGAAATGTTATCTATTTTTTAAATGAATCATAAATATGTGTTTATTTATTACAAGTACATTTTTAAACGTTAAAATAAACGTTGATTATAAAATTTTAGGTTATGTTTTTCTTTCTTCGATGGTGAAAATTACATTTTTTATCTAAAGAATGTTGGGAGAAATCGTAAGAGTTTTGTAACATATTAAAAGTAATATATGTGTTACCTATAAAATTTCAAACTAACAGTTAAATTTAATTTTTTTACAGTTCATATTGAAACGAGATATTGTGTAAAGAGGTTTTCAAAGAAGTCATTTTAATAACAATGGAAGAGCCTTCGATTCCCGAGATAACCGTGAAAGCATTCGATACATGATTAAAATCGTTCAAAAGTTTGCTTAATTTCGATAGTGTAATTTTAATTACTATTTTTTTGAAATAAACCAATCAAGTTATATAAATTTTCTTTTTCTGTAAATTTTAAACATTTAAACGTAGTTTTGCAAGATTTGCAATGGGTAAACCTCGTGGGACCCTCACGGGATACCCGGCAGGCATACCAATATGGGTCCCAGAAGAAAACTGTGGCCAAGATCCGGTGGGCTCACTCATATGGAAACTATATGGAAACCGCGGCCATGATCCGGCAAGAAACCGTTGGTCTTCCCATACGGGACCCAGTTGACAACCCGTATGGGCCCCGTGCGGTATTCGTATGTCAATGTTGGCTGGGTAACTGTTAATAACAAGTAATGACTGTTAATAACTGTTAATGACTGTTAATAACTGTTAATAACAGTTAATAGCTGTTAATAACATCTTCCAAGGAAAAGTCAGAAAATGAAAAGAGAACCAAGACAATACTCTATACCAAAAAAATAATAAAAAGTCATTACAGACCTCACAACAGATGGAATATCTATAAGAGCAGTCACTAGAAATAGTTATAACAAATAATCAATATTTCAAAATGGATACACATTTTTAACAACAAAAGGTGGTGTAATGAAGTTTGTTCACGATAATTATGATAAGAGATTACAATATTTTGCCTCACCTAGAAAAAACTAAAAATTGAGTTAAAATACAGCATAAGCGTGAATTAATATTCTAATGTAAAAGGAAGACAGTTTTTGGTGTGATTTTTTATAATAGTGATGAGCATTCTATGTTTATGTTTTGTTCTCGACATGATTAAGGAAAAGGAATTACATTTGAACGGTTTTGGCATTATTACGGTCAAAATGTTGTTGAATTAATGCAAGATAGAATGGCTGTAAATAAAAAAAAATTCATTACGTTAATATCATCGGGCAATTTTGTATTAATAACGCTTTTCATTAGGGAGTGTGTGATACATTTAATAAGAAAAAGGTTTGAAGATTTTAATGAGCATTACTTGGATAGCTATGAGAGTGCTCAACAAAATTGTCAACTTTTATGATGAAACGGATTAGAAAGTTATTAATAATAATGTTCTTGAACATAAAGATATTGACTATATATTTATTTCAAATTCTTTAGTAAGTCATTGACATGGCCTACTAGAAAATTTGAAAAAACTTGTATATTCATCAAAAAATCGACGGTTTGCTAAAGCGTCTATCTAAGCAAAGCAAAGCACATATTTGGCCATAAGATAGCTTCATATTAATTTAAAAATTTGATGGATTCCAACTATGATTAAGTTACTAACCAAGATGAACTAAGTATGCTCCTTCAAAAAGAAGAACTGTCACTCATTTAAAAATATCAGACTTTAGGTATCTCAAGCAAGTCGTAGAAAATATGAAGAAATTATATGATGTAAGTAAATTTTAATATAAGTTACATCAATTGGAGAAGGGAGGGAAGGATTATTATGGTATGCATATTCCCCCAACCAGAATTTAAAAGTCCTAAAATCCTGGACCTGAATTGAAGGACCTTTTTTTTCTGTTTTTTAGGAGGCACAAATGTGATACAAAATACAAAAGTATTTCAATATCAACCCCCTCCCCCTTATCCCCCTGTACCACCACTACAACCACCAAAAATTTTTGAGATTTTGAAACAGAAAAAATCGTTTTTTGAAAAGTAATGTTTTTTTGTTTTTTACAGGTGGTTCACCAGTAAAAAAATAAAATTCCCCAAATTTAGTAATTTTAAATTAAAAAGTGTATCAGAGCATAACTTAAAAAAATAAAAAACAATAAAAGTGTCATTTTACAACAATTTATTCCTACAATTGTAAAAATATGTCAAAAAGGTTGCAAAACTAGAAAGAGTTTGAAGAATTAAGTGATAGTCATCACTTAATTCTTCAAACTCTTTCTTTATTATAATATATTCATATATTCATGCTGGGGAATTAAGCTTTGGTGTGTAATTGTTGTTACCTGCAGAATTTTTTCCTCCTATTTTCACCAGCTATCTGGACCCACTGGACATAATATGTGGCAATAAAACTGATCCTGAAAATTAGTGTAATGGTAAAAAACTTTGCAAATGTTATTTTTCATTTTATATACCTTTTCATTTTCACTTCAAGAGTTATTAGCTGCAGCCTGTCGAATAGCTGCAGCCTGTCGAATACCAAAAAAATATTCTATTAACTGCACATTCTGTCATTTTTTATTTATCCAGTTTACCAATTACCATGATGTTTATCATTTCTTCAGTTATGTAGTCTTGCACCAATTTGCTTCTGATTATGACCAACACACTCTAACTTTTCCAGTTCAATTTGAAACTTTCCTTATATATTACCGTTAAGAACATCATTGAATGAAGAGGAATTCTTATTTCCAAAATAATATTTATAAATAAAATTATTTTTTTCTACAAAGCGGTTAAATATCTTTACAGAGCGATTAGATAACTCCAGCACTTTCAATTGCTCCTGACAATGCTGTATAATTTAAGGAGCAAATATGATTAGTCTTCTGCTTTTTTTCCACATTTTAAATCCCCTACAGTACATGCAAAAAACTTCAAAATCAATATATCACCTTTCTGAAAGTGTGGTCACAACACCATTCAGTGAAACATGTCCGCGTTTTTGCCATGAGATATCTGAAGAAACTCTGATTAATTTTTTTCCTAACCCAATGTGTTCCTTGTTAACTTTACGTCTAACTTTTATTACTGCTGCCTTTGTTGATTGTTCTGCAGATAACTTATATGCATTTTGAACAGTGCTGTTGATTTTGTTAAACACATTGTTATCCATACTAGAAGTGTTTGGAATTAGTGCATAGTCCACTATGGCTTAGTGTCCTATGCCAATAAGAGAAGTTTATCATAATGTTACAATTTTCTGCATTACTATTATTATCAACTTAAAGAAACTTTGCTGAAACATGTTCACTAACTGAAACATGTTCAACATTTTCGTCTTTTAGGGTAGGTGATTTGTTCCACTAGTTAACCAGTAGAACAAACTCATTAATAGTAACCTAGCCAACATTGTCATACGGGTACCGTACGGGGCTCATTAGGGTCGTCAACTGGGTCCTGTATGGGAAGACCAACGGTATTCCGCCGGATCATGGCCGCGGTTTCCATATGGGTGAGCGCGCCGGGTACCCCGTATGGGTCCTAGTCAAATCCCGTACTTTAAAACTGTAAGGGGCCCATTTGGAGTTGCAAATGAGACCCATATGGGAAACCCATCGGGAACCCGCCGGATCTTGGCAGCGGTTTTCCTCTGGGACCCATATAGATATGCCCGCCGGGTATCCCGTGAGGGTCCCACGAGGTTTACCTATTGCAAATCTTGCAAAACTACGTTTAAACGTTTAAAATTTACAGAAAAAGAAAATTTATATAACTTGATTGATTTATTTCAAAAAAATAGTAATTAAAATTACACTGACGAAATTAAACAAACTTTTAAACGATTTTTTCTAATCATGTATCGAATGCTTCCACGGTTATTTCGGAATCGGAAACTTTTCCATTGTTGTTAAAACGACTTCTTTGAAAATCTCTTTACACAATATCTCGTTTCAATATGAGCAGTAAAAAAATTAAATTTAACTGTTAGTTTTAAATTTCATAGGTAACACATACATTTTTTTTAATAAGTTAAAAAACTTACGATTTCTCCCAACACTTCAGATAAAAAAATGTAATTTTCACCATCGAAGGTAGAAAAACATAACCTTTAATCTTCGACCATATAAACTGATAGACACACGTAAGTTAAGTATTTTGGAGCCAACATCTTTTAGGGCGTGACGTCACGTTTAAACAAAACAAGACGCGATGGAAACAAAATAAAGCTTTGAGAAAACGTTAAATGTAATATTTTTTATAATTAGTTTAATATTATTTAAAAAAGTTAAATGTATTTTTTTTTAAAATAATATTAAACTTATTATTTTATTATTTGTATCAACTTTAAATGAATAAGTTAATCTCTTAGATTTCTTAAAATAGAAAACGTAACAGTTAATACAATTTTATATGTTTTATTAAACAATCCATTAATATACAAAATAACTTCTTACTGATTTGAAAATAAAATTTGCTTTGTTAAAACACTTCGTATACGTTTATTCTGTCGCAAAATGTTGATCGAGTCAGCTTTGTGGTGCAATCGTATTTTTAAATATTTAGCAAGAATAATTTTGACTAAACTTCATCAAATATATGATCATGCAAACAACTAAAAACAGATTTGTGCATATTACGCAAACATTTGATCACTAATATTTCTATTATTTAAACTTTTTAATATTTCCTTTTATTTAAACCTGTTTGCTCTAATATTCTAAATTCTGTTTCAGCCAACTTGCATAAATAAATAACATCAGTTGATGCGTTTATAAGGCCAGTCTTTGAATTTAAGGTATACTGTTTCAGAGTCACAAGTATTTTCATCCAGAGTTAAGGCACAAATACAAGGATTACATTTTACAACGTAAAAAGATAGCGTTTCAAATCCTAGAAGCTTATAATAAGCATGGTCATTTAACTGAGACTGACTTTCAAAAATATCAATATCACCCTGTAAATTAGCATCTAAACATTGTATTCCCGATGGTATAATTTGAGACTTTTGGTTACTACTTACAGTTAAAATTGATATTGGTGTTTGATCTAAGCAATTTGCATTTTGATAACCACTCACTTCACAATGAATCAAAAGACGTTTATACGCACTTTCATATTGGCAAGCTGTTGGGTTGTTATTATGACCACTACAACTACCAATAGCACTAAAAAAACTTCAAGATGGTCTTGGGACAATTTATATGCTAAAACATATTTCAATATCGGTTGATTGCTATTAACATTTTCATCATAAATTGACTTTAAAGAATTCAGACTAATTATCATACCTAGAAAACCAATTTTTCTTCCTGATGTATACATAAATTGTCCATCTGGTAATTCTCTAAGGCTTTTCAGATATTCAATTATTTGATCAATGCGTAAAAAATTTTTTTCTTTGTTCCAATTTTGTATGCCAC